CCTCGGTGGCGCGATCGACAGCGCGGTCCTACCGATGCTGCGACATGCCTGGCGGCATGCCCGGCTGCGATCGAGTCTTTGTGCGCCTAGGGGCGTTAAAGAGGCACCTGGAGCAGGGTCGCACCAACCCGGATGTGCACCAGTGCGGTTATGTCCGATGCTACCCCGCCGGCGCGCCTGTCGGCAGGGCGAGCGCCGGCGACGTGCTTGCGCGAGCGGTTGCCGCACAGGCAGGGCGTGTCACCATCCACGGCGGCGAGGGCGGCCTCGCCTCGCCCACCCTCTGCCCGGTGGCCGAGCTGCAGCTGACGCTGTGCGATGGGACCGTGTGCAAGCCGACCCCTCCGGAGGCTGGCTATGCCAGTAACCAGCAGGGGCGGTCGAAGCCGCGCCGCAAGTCCGCCATGCAGCTGACCTACGTCCTACTCGTCGGCCACGACGTGAAGGACGAGAAGGGGTACGAGAACCTGCACGGGCACGAGGCGAGCCAGCTCATGCTGGAGTGGGGCACGGCCGGCTTTGCCAGCCGTTTTGCGGGGGTTGGCAATGCGGCGGCCACGCAAGACGGGCAGCCGCACCTGCCGCGGACGGCGCAACTCTCGGCGAGCGAGCTCACGCCGCTGCTTATGCTGCCCCGGGCGAAGCTCGAGGCTCGCATCCTCAAGCTGAAGGCAAAGGAGCGGCGCCCCTGGGTCGCCGCAAAGACGAGGAAGCGGAAGCGCAGCGCCGTCCCTGCCGGCCGCAAGCAGAAGCCCGACAGCGCGGCCATCCTGCGCTCGGCGCGCGTCAAGCTTCGGCGCGCGGGCTGGGACATCGCCGCCGCAGTCGGGCAGAGGGGCGGGCGGCGGGCGGACCGCCTCACCGTCCCGGAGCTGAAGGCTCTCGTGGCAGGCCGCGGCTGGAAGCTGGGGAAGGGTGAGAAGGCCAACCAAGGCCCCCTGCTTGCGCTCGCCGAGCGGAAACGCAAAGAGGCGCGCGACGCGCACGCTGGCCGCCACGGCGGCGTCGCCCGGCCTGAGGACGGCCTGGACGAGTGCTGGGCGCCTCAGCCCGAGGATGAGGTGTCAGACGACGGCGCGGGCGGCTCGGAGGCGAGCGGCTCGGGCGCCGCCGGCGCTGCAGGCGGTGCGGGCGGTGCGGGCGGTGCGGGCGCGGGGGGCGTAGCAGGCGCGAGGGCGGAGGCCGGCACGGCTGGGGAGCCGGCGGGCGACGGCTCGGCGTCGGAGGGAGAGGCTACAGGTGATGTCGAAATGGGTGAGGCATGCGGGGACGCCGAGATGGCAGAGGCAGGGTCGGGGAGCGGCGGCGGCGGCGGTGGCGACGGCAGCGACGGCAGCAGCAGCAGTAGCAGCAGCAGCAGCGACGATGACAGCGACGACGCCGACGGACCTGACAGCAACTGTGAGGGAGAGGGAGAGGATGTAGCGTCGTCCGAGTCTGAGAGTGAGTCTGGGGATGAGGGTGAGGAGTAGCCGCGCGGTGGAGTGTACGCTCGCTGTTTACTCGATCCGCGCGTGTGTCGACAAGGGAGAAAACGGCCACGAGAAGAGGAGGGCACGCGTGACACCTGAGCGAGCCCGCCACAGCTGGCTCTTTCACCTGCAAGTACGAAGTAGCAGACGCTGAGGCGCGCAGTAAGTGGCCGACATGGCAAGGTCAGCGCGCATTTGCGCCGCGTCGCGAGATGGAGGGAGTACTGCAACCTACAGAGAGAGGACCTGCAGCCGCCAGACGCGACGATTCGCACGAAGGAGTGACTCGCCCGCGGCTTGCCGCACTGCACTCGCAGGTATGCCCTCCGGGCGGAGGTTGAGCACTAGCCGCAAGGCACACGACCGCGGCCAGTGCTCAACCTGCAGCACCGGGCCTACAGCGAGGAGTGATACGGTGATTGACGAGGCAGTGGTTCATGCACGGTGGTGGAATCGGTGTCAAAACCGAGCCAACAGGCTGAAACGGCACGGGAGCTCACAGCGTGCCTCACTGAGAGTCTCGCGGGTGCTCCGAGGCGAGCAGAGCGCGAGGGCCGATGGCATGTGAGTCTACGTAGACGCCTCATACTTCGGCGGGGCTAGTGCAGGACGCAGATGGACGAAGACCGAGTCGACGGCCCTGCCAAGCGTTCGGAATACCCCCAAAAATCAACTGTCACTAGAGGGTTTTTGCTAAGGTTCCACACGCGTCCCACACGGAGGTTCCACACGTGAGAGCCGGGACTCGTGGTGTGGGAGCCTCACGACCACACACCTACACGCTCAATCTGTGGGACCCACCGACACCGAGCATGACGGTGTAGCTTCGCGCCCCCGGCCGCCAGCCATCCCCGATGGACCCCCCACGCCCACTCCGCGCTCGGCAGCGCCTCTCATCTCACCGAACCGCCCGCCCGCCGCCCCGCTGCCGACAGGATCCCATCGACGTCGAGCCTACGGAGGTGCTGCCGCCCGCCGGCCGCGAGGAGAAGCAGATCGCCGTCGCCGCCGCCGCCGCTGTCGCCGCCGCCGTCCAGCCCGCCGCCGCTGTCACCGCCTCCCCCCTCGCCGCCGCCGTCCTTGCCGCCGCCGCCCTCGCCGCCGCTGTGTAGCCAGCCGCTTCCCTCGCCGCCTCCACCGTCGCTGCCCTCACCGAGCCCGCCGCCGCCGCCGCCGTCGTCGTCGTCGTCGTCGCCGCCGCCCAGCCCGCCGCCGCCCAGCCCGCCGCCGCCGTCGCCGCCTCCCCCTCTCGCCGCCGCCGCCGCCCTTGCCGCCGCAGCCCTCGCCGCCGCAGCCCTCACCGCCGCAGCCCTCACCGCCGCCACCCTCACCGCCGCCGCCCCGCCGCCCCCACCGTCGCCGCCCCCACCGAGCCCGCCTCCTCCTCCGCCGCCGCCGCCCTCGCCGCCGCCTTATTCGCTGCTGCCGCCCTTACCACCGCCACCGTCGCCGCCGCCGCCCGGCCCGCTGCCGCCGTCGCCGTCGCCCCGACGGCGGAAGGCCGCAGCGGCGGCTCCGTCGCCCACAGCCACACGCGTACGAGGCGGAGCTCGATGCGCGGCTGAGCTGGAGACGAGGAGTGAGTAGCACGCGTCCTCTGCCACCGTGCGCGTGTTATGTCTTATGAGGTGGTGCGAGAGAGCCATTTGCGTGCGAGCCCGTGCCCCGTCCCGCCACCCGCCCGCCCCGCCCCGGAGCGCGACAAAATGTGAAGGGTGGGCCACTTGTGTTGAGGGATGGCAAGACCACCAGCTAACGATCTTGTTTTGCAGTTCTTATCTATGACTATGTGCCGTACTATTTTCACACATACTATCTCACTAAAGTCTTTGAAAATCGAGATCCACGGCGCACGGGATCCCGACGCCCGACCGACGTAGAAAGAGAAGTGAAACTTGCCCAAGACATATCCGGTGTGGGTGGCGTGTGTGGGAGGCCCTTAGCAAAAACCCCTTTTCACCTGACCGCTGAGCTACGTGTGGGACGATGGTGTGGAACCTGATCTACACCCTTAGCAAAAACCCCCCACTCCCCTTTCTCCCGGCCGGGGTGGGGCGCGCGCGGGGGCGGCGGGTGTGCGGCGGGTGTGAGGGATGTCTGTGAGCCCGAGAGCGATATGCCCTGTCCGCCTTGCGTTGTTTCATAACACGAAGGCTAAGCTCAAAATCAAGAACAAACGGGCCCTCAGCGGAGCTGGGAAGAGGACCGCCGCAAGCGGCGTGGCGTGGAGCGGTTGTGCATCCCTCCGGGGGCCCCTCTGCGCCGGGGAGGCGTTGTTGGAGGCTAGGACGCAAGCGTCCGTCGCCCTTTTCAAACTCGGGGCCCACTCCGCTACGCTCCGACCCGAATTTGGAGGGCCTAAAAGTTTAAGGTGTTGCTGCGCAAAAGGGGTCGGACACAGGGCGCAGCTCATGCTAAGAGCTAGAAGGGGAGCTAGAGAGAACGACTACCCTGTCCCGTTATTGCGTACACCAACACCACAAAGCTCTCTCTCCTGTCCTCACTCAATCCAGGGGGGTCACAACTACTGAGTCCCTCGAGTTGCCGACCGAGATGATATGGTGTGGCTCGCCGCTCTCGAGCCAGCCGAGCAGATGGAAGTGAATCTGCCCCCTCCCCGCCGCTCCCTGGTCCCGGAAGCGACGGGCCCAAGCAAACTCCATCACGTAGTAAAACACACTGATGCCGAGCGCCGGTACGAGCACCTCCTCAATGTAGGTCTTGGCACGCTGTTCAAAGTACAGCAAGCGGATCTCCTCCTGCTCCGCAAGGAGGGTGGCAAAGGTGTGACGAGTCCCAGCGCTGGCTGTGCAGCGACCGACCGGGCAGGCGGCGGCGGCGCGGACCGTGAGGTTGTACTTGAGGCTGCCGCCGGTGGCTTCGGTGAGGACCGCCTTTGGAGGTAGGGAGGGGGCGGTGGCGGTGAGGGAGGCTGCGGTGAGGGGCGGTGGCGGTGAGGGAGGCTGCGGTGAGGGAGGCTGCGGTGAGGGAGGCTGCGGTGAGGGGCGGTGGCGGTGAGGGAGGCTGCGGTGAGGGTAGCGGTGATGGCGAAGGGAGGGGAGTGGCGAGTGGAGAGGTGGCGGGGCGGGGAGAGGCCAGAAGGCGAGGGGGAGGGTGGGAGGCGGCAGGGAGGGAGAGGCGGTAGGCGAGGCGGGCGGCGGAGGAGAAAAGAGCGGCGGCGGTCGGCAGGCTGCAGGGAGAGGCGAGGGGGTGTCTTGTCCGTGTGTCCCTGTGTCGCCATGTGTGCCGCCAGCATCTGTCCTGCGTCCACCCCGCGCTGGTGAGCCCGTCGAGTCTATCTATCGCAGGACACGCGCCTTTGGGATGGACTTGTCGCAGACGAAGCGGACGACCATCGAGCGGCCCGCCGCGCCCCCCGGGCTCGATCCGAATCCGCAGCGTGTCGGCCCCAGCGGCGGTGCTGCGCGGGAGGCGGCCGCGGGCACGCTGGGCTCGATCAGCGGCTTCCCTCAGTTGCTCCGTCCGAAAGCACGGATTCGGCGGCCGTTCGTGGCTTCAATTTTACGGATGTCTTGGCACCAGCTGAAGGCTTGGGTCCGACATCGCCGGATTCGTGCACGGTATTCGGATTTTGCTATTTGCTCGTGTGGGGGTATATCGCAGATTTGTCAATGGTACCGCGTCTGCGACGCGGGCGCCTTGCGGGCAGAGCCCTTAGCCACCCTTTTATCTTGCGCGGTCAAAAATTCTGGGGCCGAAATCTCGATTTTTAAGCTATCAGGGGGTGTTTCTGGGACCATATGCGACCACTTCACCCGCCCCGGGAGGACTGGATCAGTTGCGACCTATCTTGCACCATCCTGGTGTGAAGTCGGCCTTAAAATTCTTATTTCGTGCCAGTCCGTGCCAGACTGTTTTCCTTTTTTTCATTTTTTTCCAATTTTAAGAAAGAAAGAACTGGCGCGAGAAAGAGACTCGCAACGGTGCTCTGCCGCGGACTCAACGGTGCGCGCGACAAGCCCAAGATGACGGACTCAACGGTGCTCTGCGTCAAGCCCGAGGAGAAGACGCCGCAGTGCACGCCAAATCTGCTGCCGTGCGACATTAGCTCCACTGGGCCGGCACCCGTCTCCGCCTACTTTCACCCGAGCGAGGCCGCGAGCGACGGAGGGCGCACCGCCCACTTCAGAGGGCGGCAGCTTCGTGGGCGCCACCTCCCGCTCCCTGCCGGCTACGAGGGCCTGGTGCGTCCGACGCACCAGAGAGCGAGTGCTGTGCAGCCGCCACAATGCACGTTCACCGCCGAACCCTCCGCCGCCGGCAGGTCTTGCAGGACACCGTTGCTGCCTCGATTGCGGATGGCGAGGAGCGGCGGTGGGTCGAGCGTGGCACGTTCTCCGAGCTGGGCTACTGGAAGCACGACGACCCGACCGCTGCCACCGACCCAATGGCCAAGGCCATGGACTTCTGCCGCCTCGCAGGGGTGCTGCACGGCCACCACGCCCCGCCACCCCAGGTGTGATCTGTAATTGGGTGGTACCCGGGGGCCTGAGCGGCGTGGATGGACGTTGTGTGTCGGTGTACTGTCTACTGTGTGTCGTGTGTGCGTATATCCTTTGTGTGTTTGGTGTCGGCGCACCCGACGGCTCGCTCTCACAACCAATGGCTCGGGACCGGCGCGAAGCCTCGCGTCGGGGTCATCTCTCGCCTCTCGGCTTGTTTGACTAAATGACCGCGCACGCCAGCGCGCCACACCCACGGCCCGCGCCTCTCAGCTCTCTCACGCGTCACGGCGTAAAAATCGGCTTCCCCTCTCTTCTGGCGCGCTCTTCCTCCGCCACGTGCTCCTCCAGCAAGCGAAGAGTGGTCTGGACGATGTCCTCGACGGAAGCCATCGCGCCCATGCCGGTGTCGCCTTGCGGCGGGAGGAGAGCGTGGGCAGGCGGCGAGGCGCAGGGCGGCGGCTCGACGGGAGAGGGGAGGGAGTAGCGCGCGCTGCGCACCGCACGCGAGGGTCTTGCTGACCGGCGGGACGACGTGCACGCCCCGCCCCGCGAGGACCTCCACGTGCTGCGAGGTGACTCGCTGGTGCCACCTGCCGGCCCAGAGGGAAGAGCTTGTCTGGAGGGCTTCGGGGGGGGGCTCTCTCCCCTCTGTGGGGGGAGGAGGGGTGGCGGAGGAGGTGCGGCGCGGTGTGGGCGCGCGCATGAAGGTGTTCATGGCGGGCGCGACGACAAAGGGCCGCTCGATGCAGCGCGGCCCGTAGGCGGCCTTGAGTGGCGCCGCAAACGCGTCGTCGAGGTCGTAGTACCTGAGAAGAGCACACACATTCTCTCTCTCTCTCCTGTGGCCTGGGGTCGGCCGGCAGCGCGTGGGGCTGGCGCCACGCTCTCACGACGGAGCCGAGGAGAGAGCCGCACAGGCCGAGCGCGCAGCTCGCCTGCGGCAAGAGAGGAGACTCAGCCGGACTTTGCAGCGGAGGAGGAACCGCAGCGCGGCTGCTCGGCCGCCAGTGTGTTTGCGCAGAGCGGCGCGATCAGCAGCAGTCGATTCCGCTTGGCCAGCTCGATGTGCAGGACCGGGTCGGTTCCAACCGCGCCGTACGCCGCCCACTCGTCGCTGTCGCGGTACATGCGCATCGCCGGGATCTCGCCGCCGCCGGAGCTGGCACCGCCGCCAGCAGCCGCGGCCGTCATACAGCGCTCGGCATATTCTGTGGTGAGGGCAAGCAACTTTTCCCACGGCTGGCCGCCTCGGTACGTGGCCTGCGTGGGACAGCGAATCGCGTCAGCCCGGCGCTTGTCTCCGCCAAAGCAGACGAGCGAGCGAGCCTGAAGCAGCTTGACCGCCGACTCGGTGAGAACGACGTCGACGCTGACGCCGTGCGAAAGGAGCGCCTCACAAAGCTCCGGCGCCTTGACTGCGGCGACGCTGCCTGTAACACCCAGGAGGACGTGTCGGGCCGACATGGGGGAGTACAACACACCTTTTTGAGACGTGCGCACTTAGATCAACCTCTTGGTGTGAAGCTCGCACCTCAACCTCTCACAGGCCAGCGCACAGCGCCATAGGAGGTATTTTCTTCTCAATAACAAGGCTGTGAACAGCTCGTTGTGTTGTGTTTTTGTGTGAACAGCTCTCGCGCGCCGCCGTCTGTGGCGACGCGCAGAACATCAACAACGCTGCTCGCAACATGCGTGTCGCGCACTCGTTCATGACCGGTCTCAATGTCCCACCCCCCTGCGCGCGGGCCTTCTAGGCCCGCGGGTAGTCTCCCCCCATCCCCAGGGCCTCCAGGGCTCGCACCTCAACCTCTCACAGACCAGCGCATAGCGCCATAGGATGTATTTTCTTCTCATAACAAGGCTGTGAACAGGCGGCTCCCACCTCGATGGGTTATGATATCACTCCTGCACTGGCATTGAAGAGGGGATCAACATTCAACAAACAAGGAATCGAGCGAGGGTGACCGCATGTCTGCATCAGACGTGTCATCCGTCCCGATCGTGACCAACCAAAGCCACCCCCTCTTCGTAGATAGAGCCCATTCTGAGGGGTCCTGATTCCAAAGCCGCTCCCAGCCGCACCCGCCAAGCACCTGCCCGACCGTGTTCGAACGCTGTGCCGAACACGGTCAGAACATGGGCTGATCACGAAAGGATCAAGGTCCGGAAATAGGACCGTCACCACGGGGCTCACCCTGTTCCGACCCTGATCCGACCCTGATCCGACCATGTTCAAAGTGATGACGGTCGGAACAGGTCAGTACTCAGCTTCGGTCTGATCACGGTCGGATCAAGGTCGGAACAGGTCAGAGTGGTACCCTCCTTAGGGGTGAACCTTCTTTTGTACCAGGCTAGGATTGAGAGCAGCCTCGCTCTCAATCCTAGAAGTCGAAGGATTGTGAGCAGCACACTCCTCGCAATCGTAGCATCTCTGTGCGATTGCGAGCGCCTACGCTCAATCCTACATCTTCTAGGACTAAGAGCAGCTCCGCGGCTCCCAAGATGACATAGATGACTGGTGACGCCTACGACTACTACCAGCGCGCTCGCAATCCGAGCAAAGTCTAGGATTGCGAGCAGCACTGCTCACAATCCTAGCGACAAGCCTCCGACTGCGAGCAGCAGCGCTCGCAATCCTAGAACTTTCGCCGATTGCGAGCGACACCGCCCACAGTCCTACGACTTCTAGGATTGCGAGCGGGTCCCCTCGCAATCGGTGCGATCACTGTTGGAATGTGAGGAGACCCCCCCGGCGCGCTCACTCACAAGCGCTCGCGGCTGGAGCGATTGGGAGCGCCCCCTGTGCGGCTGCTAGCAATCCTTGGATCTTTGGTACGATTGTGAGCACCGCCGCTCATAGTCCTCAAGATGAAGGATTGCGAGCGCTACTGCTCGCAATCGGAGGCATGTTGCTAGGATTGTGAGCTAAGGCCTAAGCTGCTCGCAACCCCTAGAGTTTGCTCGGATTGTGAGCGCGCTGGTAGTAGTCGTGGGCGTCACCAGTCACCTTGGGAGCGGAGCTGCTCTTAGTCCTAGAAGATGTAGGATTGCGAGCGTAGGCGCTCACAATCGCACAGAGATGCTACGATTGCGAGGTCCGAGGAGTGCTGCTCACAATCCTTCGACTTCTAGGATTGAGAGCGAGGCTGCTCTCAATCCTAGCCTAGTGATCTGTGATCTGTAAGGGTCCGCCCGCAGGCGCATTTTGTGTAGCCTAGTAGTACAAAAGAAGGTTCACCCCCCCTGATCGTCCTTCCAAAATCCTGAGGTGGGGACCCTGTGCTCCTCCCATCCCTCGCTTTCTTCTTTCTTTTCATTTTTGGTCGCTAAAGAACACTCCAAGTGCTCCATCCAAGTCCGACTGCACTTTCGACGCGCGCGGCGCCGTGTCGAACCTCCGGATCGTGCCTCAGGCGAGAAGCTCCCCCGTTGGCTGACAGGCTCTCCGCCCTCGGGCCGCCTTCTCGCCCCTAGCCGTCCCCCAGTGCGCCTGCGGCGCGATTTTAGCGATTTCTATAAGTCCGGACACGTGTCTATCTAGAGCGATTTTGCTTGACTTGCTTGGTCGAATCTAGCTAGAGTGCTAGACGTGCGGGGTCTAGTGCGGGGTCCGTTTCTCCCTCTCTCCCTCTCTCCTCCCTCTCCTCCTGGTCTGGCCTCCGCGCCCGGACGGCGAGGAAAAATTCGCAGACTAAGGATAACCCATCACTGAGCCGACGATGCTACGGGTAGCCCCAGGGTGCCGCCCACCCCAATACCCTCGGGCACTTGCCTGCGCCCTGGCCGCGCATGCCGCGCACGCACGCGCACGCGCACGCACACGCACACGCGCGCACGCCCGCGCACGCCCGCGCACGCCCGCGCACGCCGCGCACGCGCGCGCACACGCTCCGCGCACGCTCCGCGCGCACGCCGCACTACGCGGCACTGCGTGGCACTGTGTGGCGCTTCGCCGATCTGAGCAGGGAGGGAACCTGGCTGGGCGTTTTGAAATTCCGTGCAAGGGGATGCCGAGGTAACGAGGTATGCCGCAGGCCGGGATGGAGTGAGATCTTGCGGGGCAGGGCGTGGGTTAGCGCGCGAGGGCGCAGGCAAGTGCCCGAGGGTATGGTGGTGGGCGCCACCCTGGGGCTACCCGTAGCATCTTCATCTCAGTGATGGGTACAGTGGGTTGCGGGCATTAAGAAAACATCGCATTAAGAAACCACGCCGAGCGATTTCCGCAAAAATCTAAGAAACCACGGCGCGCCGCAGGCGCGGCCCCGAGAAAAGGCCGGACACGAATGTGAATGAATGGGAGCCCCAGCTCAAAATTTCTCTTCGCCTGCGGCGCGCGCACTTGTCACTTTCCAAGTCTGCGGTGTTCTGAGTGGAGTAGATGGACGCGTGTGTGTGCGTTTTCCCGTCATCCAGAGAGCCGACTCGGCGGCAGACTCTGGCATCGCCCTCGCGGACCGCAGCTTGTACCTCTTACCTAAATAAAAATCCTTCGGGCCGGCTCTCTCTGGCTTGAGTGCCGGCCGGAGCTAAGATTAAATATTCTTAGCTTCGCCCTTGCCTCCGACGCTAGAGACAGTCACACCCCAGTATCAGACCAGGGGGAGTGCCCCCCTCCCCCACCTGCCCTGCTTACACAGGATAGCATGCCCCGAGAACGGCGACATTTGGCGGGGGGAACCAGGGAAGGAGGTTCGGTTTTGCCTTTTTCTGTGCTCTCGGGGGAATGTTCTCTCGGCGCCCATGGCCTTCTGAGGTTTCGTACTAATGACGTCCTTCTTGGCACTTCGGGCGTCGGTGTGTGCGTATACTGTGGTGTCTAATTCCCCCGGTTTTTTTATTATATTTATTTTTATTTTATGCTATATAGGCCGCCACGTACGGCCCCCCTCTCACATGAACCGATCTCTGGCTGGCTCCCCTCTCCGCGAGCGGTGAAGGTCGCCAGTTCGAAACCGGCTCCGACCCTTACTATATTATTTTTTTCTCACCTGAAGCGGGCTCGATTTTGCTTTAGGTGCCTCCTCGATTCGATCCAGCGTTCTCAGGCAGTCGCCTGGTGCGTGTTTCGTTTTCGTCATGGGATACCCGGCCGGAGCTAAGAAACCACGGCGTGGGGTGGATGAGGGCTGTGGAAAGGCTTATAGAAACGGCGCCGTGCCGGGCATCCTGTTTTCTTAATGCCCGCAACCCACACTGTATCCTAAGCACTTG